ACTTGGCAATCTCCGAGCATTCGATCGTGTGGTTATTTCTCATTGTCCACTCCTAGTAACTTCACATTGTCGAACTTCCTCATCTTTATCCCTAGGGAATATCCCGGGTTGCCGCACAGCACGAGCGATCATTCGTATCCAAGCACTGCACGTGGGTGCAGCACGAGAACGAATAATTGCCAGTGTAGTTATTCCGTAGACGTCCTTGTGATTCGAAATTTTTGTGTCTCTCGTTTCCGGCAGTTAATTATTTTTTTGTTGGAAACAGCGGATTTAAAAAAAAATAGAACGGGTCAAAGTATTCGAAGAATCTGGAATGGGACGCGAATCTCGTATAACCAGAGAAAAAGTCGTACAATCATGACGGACGTACAATGAAAGTCTTTTCGAGTATTTCAGGCACGAACTTCACTTTTCGAATGATGAAAAAGCAAAAAAGGAGAAAAAATGTCTGTGTATTTTCTCTCCGAAGGCATGCCATTTAACCCAGAAACTGTAGGGTGAGTTTCAGCACTGTGCCTTCATCGTGTCAGGCATGTATATAGGTATGTAGTCTGTACATACCTCTGTGTACATACATATTGGATACAGCCTCCCAGCCTCCCAGACTCCCTAGGGACCCATGATAATCGTTATCGAAATGACGCACCGTGCTTCACTGTCGTTGGCAGCCCTTGTCGCCCATTTGCCCACGTTGCTGCGTTCAGCCAAGTTTGCACTGACGTTGTGCCTCCTTCATTTTTCACTTGAAAACTTTCCTTGCCGCGCAAAATTCAGCACGCTCGATTGAACGAAATTTATTTTGATTGTACAAGAGGCGCGATGACGCAGACGAAATTTCAGTGTTTTTTAAGGTGGGTGTTGATAATATAGAGAAAAAGAAAGTGTGTATGTACGAGTAAAAGCGGAGGTGTTGTATGCAATTGAGAACAATCTATAAAGGAATTCTTGATCCGTTAAGATTTCCATAGAGACACGTTGTATTGGTATGCAAATTGTCTGACGATTTCCACGGTATGTTTTTCTTATTTTTTTTTTCCTTTCTTTTCTTCAATCTTACGGCCTTAACACCAGTGTTTTCTCAGGATTGTTAGTCACGCGCGCGCGGCCTAGATTGCACCAGCGAGTCTTCCCAGAGAAATTAAATATATTAACGAAACGCTTTGCCACGAATTTACGATAAGTTTGCTTTCCTTGAGTTTGTTAATGCTCCGACACCCGGTATAAATAAGACCTGCCGTATATGATTCAAGTGTGATGGACGGTCATTCGTGGCCCCATAATACGCGCCATACTATATATAATGTCTGGTACATGCACCCACACACACGCTCTACCTATTCATACTTATGCTGCAGACTAACCCCTGAATGCACTGGAGCTATCCAACTGAAATGCACTGTAGTCAGATTTGACAATTAGTACGATATCATTTTAACTAACCACCGACTTGTAAAATAACAATGAAAAAATCCGCGTTGAGTTTCCTCTGATGCTTATTCGACAGACTGAAAATTCGATCGAGCCAAGTCTGTCACTATTTTTCCAATTTCTTACATCGTCGCGAGTGCGAGAGAGACACACTTATGGGAAGTTTAGTATGAAAAATAATTTTTAATTTCACTCCTAATTACAGGCCCTTTAAAGTTTTATCACGTATCTGAAATTCCTAACAAATTTTTGTATTGAAAATATTAATTTCAGAACTGCATGTCCAATCCCACTGATACTCTTTAATCATGTCGAATACAAAACTCCGACATGTATTTATAGAGATGAGCGAAAGAATAACAAATAAACATATGATTCACGACTGATGTCTTTTCTGCTGTGCGTTTCTATGCACGCGCACGTGGCGCATAATCATATTACATATATAATAAACGGCATCGCCTTTCAGGCATCTACGTCAAACAGTACTCGCGTGGATTTAAAAACAGTATAAATACTATCGAATTTGCTCTGTCGACCCGGCGACAAATTCTCATCGATGATAACCGGTGTCGGCATTAGTCATGCATATTTACGACGTCTTATCATATGCACATTATCGACTTTAACCTTCGTGAATAATCTTAAGTGGGATGTATTGTAAGATAAGATAAACTGAGGGTGGGTCAAAGTGGCATAACCCTAAATAATAATAATGCACATCACGCTATCACAGATGAAATTGATGTTCAAGAGATTTTTTACGTAAATTTTGCATTTTATATAATTAGCAAAAAAATGTTTGAGTTGACAACAGACACCCTGTACATGCTATTGACATGATTTTGAGTAACGAGTGGGTGCACACGCATGCTCGGAAATCCCTTTAAGGCTTCGCCTCGCCTACCTCAATGCTTTTACGCTTGCACGTTCTATTCGTCTATATATCTCTCTCTCTCTCTCTCTTTCTCTTATCTCTCCTATACCGTATCCCGTGTAACCTAAAGCGTACAGACTGTAGTATTCCACAGTGTCATTCACGGCATTATAAATCACAGCATCACTCGAGAGTTCTGCTTCGTCAAGATGCCAGCTCCGTGCTGTAATTATATACTCGTCGGTTTCACCTGTGCAATTATACCTTTGGCACACGTTCCTCTGGAGGGATCAGGAAAGACGTTATTTTCGCGACATAAATCCCTTTCAAAGTTTGTGCCTCTCTCTTTCTCTCTATCTCTCTTCCTGGTACAGAGTAACGACCTGGACCGTCCGACAGTGTGGCGTAGGCGTTTCACAGGTATTCCCTTTACCAGTTGCACGAGATACGTGTGTCGGGCGTGATTGGGCGATTGACAAAAAATATTGCACCCTCCATCGATACGACAAGACCCGACCAACAACATTCCTATCTAACCCATTAAAATCGGCCGGCTGCTCTCTTCCAGGATCCAGGCTCCGTGCCTGATCTTATCGTATCACTCCCCGTCAGTCGTTCGGGACAAGGCACTTATTATTTTCTGTGTACTTTGGGTCTTTTTCTTTTTCTTTCTTTTTTTTTTTTATATCGACAAGTTTCACCTCTCTAACATAATCGAAAGCCAAAAATTTAAAGCTACGTAATCGTACGGGAACCTTCATCCGACCTTCTTCTGAACATTGACCGTTCCTATCCGACCAGACGGCATTCCACTGCCCACGTCGACTTCTTTCACGTTCTTTTATACTTTTATTTATCCTCGATCTCGTCTTCCTGAAAACATCCACCACGCCTATATATATATATATATATCGCGTCGTCTCATTACCAATAACCATCCTGGACTCTTCGTCTAGCGTTGAGCATTGTTCTACCGGATCCTTTCAGATAGTCTATTGATACATGTGAATCGGACTCCGTCAGGCAGTGACACATTCCCGAATGGTCTAACGCCAACGGGCTGTTCATTAATATCAAGATGACGCGAGACGCCTATTGACCCATTGGATTCAGGCGTCCACAAGTATATACATATATGGTTTTGATCGCCTCTGATTATATTGAAAGCTCCCTGTGATGTAAAGGTTCAGTCCGTGCTCTGACTGTACCTACTACTATCCCAGGAAGAGTCGTTACAAGAATAGCGTGAGGGGATAATGGACTCGTTATGGGTCGTAGATCTCTATATCGTAATCCACATAGATCAGAGCCTCTTGTGTACACTGGACGTGGACTTGTGTGCCGATACACATTATATAGTAGATGCAGCAGGTTACCTTCACGTACATAAATATGTCCAGAGAACGGAGGCGTCGCTAACAATTTTCCTTGGGTTGTTTCATGCTTCTGCCTTTCCTTATGGATTTTCATTGGCCGATCTATCGCTCGATTTTTCGCTTGACTGGTATTTCTTCTTTGGCTCTTATCGAACAAAAGCGAGCATTGCTTTGCCACGACGAAAACTACGAGATAACGCGAATCTTGTCAAGACGCTCTAATCGTCTTGAAATGATAAGATTTCACTCCTTGTGGAGATACAATTATTCCATGATGATCTCATTTCTGTGAATGATAACGTCAAACGGAAAAGGAATTGATTACTTTAATATCTGTATAATTGATATTTACTTGAATGGATCGTGTGTTACTTGTATATATACTTATGGGACTTTACGTAAAAATGGGGCGAGTCAAATTTGTCTTATCTGACTCGGCGTTGATTCTGAGTTTTTTAATCTTTCAAATGATCAATTAATTGATGGTCGCATTGATCGAGACCAGTAATCAGTATAGTACTTTACTCAGTCGCAAGGACGTTTCTTGGCATCCGCCAGTTCCCTCGAGAATGTCGTTATGAAAGTCGTAACCCGGTGGCGTTCCTTAAACGGTATATAAAACAGTGATCGAACTGATCAGTCGATACGAAACATGGATTACAGATATAGATAAGAGATCTATATTGGAAAGTCAATAACAAAATAATCTTGCTCGATCGTTGCTAGGGTTTTGCATTCATGAAAGTTGAATTGAACAGGAAGAGAAATTATGGATATTTTATTTGACACTGATGAATTGTACTGTTCGATGTAACCACTAGAGCTGTTCGAATTAAAATGATACCGCGGAGATTCAGATGCAAATGGTAATGAATTTCAAAATTGATGATCGCGTGACACGTGGTTACGTTCCAGGTCAGCATTTATTCCTGCAGGTACATATGTACGTAGCTTGTATGCCGAAGGGACGTTGGGACAGGTATATACATATAGGTACCACATTCCACGGATTGGATTTGTAATGGCTTCGCAAATTGGGCCAATCGATGATCGCCGGCCCATAATCCAATAAACGCGTTCCACTAGCTCACTGCTGAAAATGACTTTCATCGCAATTCCATGTGTTTCACCTACGGGAACACCTATGTATTCAATTTATAGTTGGACGTTTTGTGCTATGTGAGATACTTGCCCGACGTCGTGTGCTCGGCAAGCAGGTCACTCGTGAATGATCTCAAAACCGTTAGTTCAGGTCCTAACGACGATGACCTCTGACCCTTGGGCACTGGGTTTATTTCCTTCTCTTGCTGTTTCAGGTCAGCTGGGTTCACTGTCTTAGGTTAAGATGTCACATCACAGCGACGACAATATGCTCATAGCCACGACGGACTCCTTCTGGGAGCCTGGCAACTACAAACGCACCACCAAGAGGATCGAGGACGGTCACAAGCTCTGCGACAGTCTGATCGCTCTGGTCCAGGAACGCGCCGAGATCGAGAAGAGCTACGCCAAGGCGCTGAAGAGCTGGTCCAAGAATTGGAATGACAAGATCGAAAAGGGACCCGAATACGGGACCACGGAGGCTGCCTGGAAGGGCGTCCTGGTTGAGTCTGACAGACTCTGCGACCTCCACCTCAGGGTCAAGGAGAATCTGTGCAACGATATAATACAGCAGGTGAAGACGTGGCAGAAGGACACTTATCACAAGGTATGAATGTAATTCTTTTTTCTTTTATCATCATTATACATTGTCTCTGCCGTCGCGCGTGACGCGTCGTCATCGTCATGACTGTCATGAGCATCGCTTGGCTCTGAGATGAAATCGCATTTCTCATTTTGTTCTTCTTCGGCCTCTCCAGTCCATGATGACTCTGAAGGAGCGCAAGGAGATGGAGGACTCGTTCAAGAAGGCTCAGAAACCCTGGGCGAAGCTTCTTCAGAAGGTCGAGAAGGCAAAGTCCGAGTATCACAACAGCTGCAAGACGGAGAGAACGGCAGCGAATATGGAGCGCAACGCGTCTGCGGATAGTTCGCTCTCACCTGATCAGGTACTTCGATTTTTGTTTTCATACAGCAGCTAGAACTCTCCTTTTCACTATTACCACGTGTGATCATTCTTATTCTCATTAAAACTATAGTCACTCCATTTGACACTTGTACGAGCTTTCAGACTTTTTCTCATTCCTCCCGATAATGCCCGTCGTCGTACAAGGTTTTACGGATCGATGCCAGTTAACGAAATGGAAGGACATATCTTTTTTTCCTGTAGGAAAAAGTTTGAAAATGTAAAATTGACTGTCCAAACTAACTGCATCAGCGGTATTGTAACGACTCTTTCGGTATTAGATAACTGCATCCGTTGACGCATTTTCTGTTTCCCCATTACGGTAGATCCGACAATTCTTCTTCTTTAGCAACGATTGTTTTCAGATGGCCCGAGGCTCTGAAAACGTATGTCACTGCATACACCGATGTGTCTTGCCAGAAATTTTGCATGGTTTGCTTTTTGTCTGTTTGTTTGTACAATATATTATACCTATGTATTGTCTTTATGACTTACTGATTTCGTATGACTCTGCGTTGAATATCGCGCAAGAGCTTCTTGAACCGTTTATAAAAGACGATTGACAATATTCACGTACTCGACTAGGGCTGCGTCGTCGTCGCTACTATTTGCTCTTTTATGTCGCTGTGATACCCTTTCTCATCGGCCCTACACTACGTTCCCGTTAGATTATCAATCACACATCGGCACGTTTTCATCGATCGTCGAAAATTCTGAATGCGAATCGGGTCCCTACCTAAAGCCACTGTAACGACGTTTCTAGATGACAAAACGTGGATGTGGTGCATGGGGCCTCAGAGTGCGAAAGTGCCTTAGGAATTCTAAGATAGGAGACGTTGAGCTTGTATGTATAATAATGTTGCATGTGGCATGTTTTAATCATTTTTCTTTGTTTTTTTTTGTCTCTCCGTTACAGAAAGCTCTCTTGGTAAGCATTACTTAGCGGACTTATGGTTAAAGCCCTTTTACACGTAAAACGCTGTCATTTTTCAATCGTTACTACTATCTGCTGCTTGAGTAGATGTTTTTTTTTTTTTCAACAATACTTTCATAATTGTACTTTTTAGTGTAAAGGTCGACTGTGGCAGGTATTTGACAAAATTTTGAAAGACGCACGCTTTCTGGTAATATTGTGTAGAATTTTTCTTCGATTTGGTATTCATGATTGTAAAGCTAGCATCTCATGTGGTGGCATCTCAAAATAAAGCTACAGTTCTTTTTGCATCCAGCAAAGTTCCACAAGTCCTGATGGTTTTTAACAATAGTTGTCGTCATTTAGCTAAAGTAAACTGTAATGAATTTGATAGATTTTAACTAACTTTATAGTTCCTCATAGTTTTTGCCAACAGTTCTGGTGATTAATTGTTTTTTAAATTAACGGGCCAGAACTACTGTTAAAAACTATGAGGACCGATAAAGTTCGTTAAAATTTATCAAATTCATTACTGTTTAAATAAATTTTCGGATGTGGGATGCTGGACAAAAAGTTAACATCTGAGTTTTATGATTGTCGTTTTCTTTTTTAGCTAAATGGCCAGAACTATTGTTAAAAATCATCAGAACTATGGAACTCTGCTAGATGAAAAGGGAACTGTAGTTTTATTTTGAGATATCACCACGTGAGATATTAACTTCTCAATAATTTGATATTCTTGGCACTGGATTTGTGAACGTCTTTGGAAGTATTAGACATTTTTTACTTTTTATTTGTTTTATTTATCATTGCTCGAGGGTGAAGTCACGGGGATCAAAGAAAATATAAATTTTTGTTACGAATGAAAGTGCAAAAGCCATTATACGTTTCGGCCTGATCTTTGTCTTGAATTTGAATGTCGCTCACTTGGGATGGAGCTCAAAGGCTGATTAGGGATGCCTCTGTCGATCAGGTGAAGAAGATGCAGGACAGAGTGCAGAAGACGAAGGAAGAGGTCCAGAAGGCCAAGGAAAAGTACGAGGCTGCGCTTCAGGAGATCAATCAGTACAATCCAAAGTACATGGAGGACATGACCCAGGTCTTTGAGAAGTGTCAGGAAATGGAGGCGCAGCGATTACAGTTCTTCAAAGACGTTCTATTTGGCATTCACAAGTGCCTAAACATATCTCAGGATCCAGTGTGAGTATTACTTTATCACCCGAGACTGTGGGGTAACATTCATTTTCTCCATACCGGGTCCTATCACCGAGTGCCAACTCTCATTAAAGGATCATCTTCATTTTCAGGCTGCCACAAATATACGAGGAGTTCTACCACACGATCAACAATGCGGATCACGAGAAGGACTTGAAATGGTGGTCGAACAATCATGGCGTGAACATGGCCATGAATTGGCCCCAATTTGAGGTAAATATGAGCGCTCAAGTATCAAGATGAAGTTGGCCATTATGCAGCGCATGTAACAGACAGGCACCCTTTGCTCATGATTGGGATTTTCGATAATCGATAGAACGAAGGAACAAGCGACAAGGAAAAAAGAAGAATCTGTAGCGCGTTCGTTCCACTTGTCTCTCGTTTCCTGTTATTCTTAAAGATTTATTTACTTTTTTAAATAATTTAATCCCACCTGCCCTGTAACCCCCTTTAATATACTTAGAGAAATCAGAAACTCGCTGTGAAGGTTGTTCGCCTATGCAAGGTGCACCTTCCTTAGAGTAATCGATTAGTTCTTCCCGCAGTATTTCTTGTTTTTTTTTTGGAATGCCTGCATGTTATTGTGTGGGTGTTGCTATTTTATGCAGGATTACACAGAGGAATTCCGCGAGATCACCAAGGGCTCCAAATCCAAGGAGGCTCTACCAGCCGGATCGATCACTCTCATCAATCAGCGTCCTGTTGGCGAGGATCTGCATGTAATGATGTTTTCCTTTATATTTACTCGATACTTTTCTTTTCTCTCTCTCTCTCTCTCTCTCTCTCTCTCTTTCTTTTTTTCACCTTCTCTCCTCTCTCCAACTCAAGAACCACGCAGAAGGGTCATATCGAACGCGCTTTACTCGATACTTTTCTTTTCGCTCCAAATCCAAGGAGGCTCTACCAGCCGGATCGATCACTCTCATCAATCAGCGTCCTGTTGGCGAGGATCTGCATGTAATGATGTTTTCCTTTATATTTACTCGATACTTTTCTTTTCTCTCTCTCTCTCTCTCTCTCTCTCTCTCTTTCTTTTTTTCACCTTCTCTCCTCTCTCCAACTCAAGAACCACGCAGAAGGGTCATATCGAACGCGCGCGTACACGGAAAACGCACGATTATACTTACTTGCTGGCCCTCGAGCTTTCGCGAACATCGCAATGTTTTATTTTTAATGCAACTAACTCGTGTGGAATATATGTGTTTAGCGGTAGAATTCCATCAAGTCCGTTATTATTGCTTGAATCATGAAACGAGTCCCGTTAAGGTACGATTTGTTGATTTGTCACACGGGAATTTATGTAGAAACAGAATAATATGCTACCTATTGATTTAAAGTCATGTGTAACAGTGCCTTATAATATTATCGACAAAAATTTACATTGAATGTGCATCTTGTAGCATGTTACTATATACATAATTGTTTTTTTCAACATGCGTCCAAGTTGCACGAACATCATAATTTCATAATATTGAAAATGGATGAAGAGTAGCTTAAAATTCTTATAACCGACACTGCACTGACCTGGTCGTCTGCACGTAGCACTGTTTAAATAGCAACAATGATAAATTGTACTAATTAAAGTCTCCCTAATCTACTTAGGAATTTCCACCTGTAAATCACAAGGCGAAGGCAAAATCCAGCGCCCGTGTAATATCAAACGATGGTAATCACGGCGATGCAAAAACCGACACGATTAGTTCGAGCAAACAAACGTTGGAGAAGAATAACCACGAAGCCAGCACGGTGAACAGGACTGCGACCATCACGTGAGTATCGAATCGATCCATTAACTTGAATATTTGATCTGCTGAAAATAATTAGTTAATTCCTTATCATCCCCGTTACGTAGGAATGGCACTAGTGCGAAGCAGGAATCGAATCCCTTCGAGGAGGAGGAATGGGACGAGGATGCCGGTGAACCTCTTGTCGATAATGGAGAACCAGGTGTTCCTGTGAGGGCACTCTACGATTACGAGGGCGCTGAAGCTGACGAGTTGAGCTTCAAGCAAGGTAAGATTTTTAAAATGTATCGTTGGTGCATGATAAAGAGGTGGCTTAGGCAGATGGGAATCAGTGAATCATTTTAGGTGATATCTTCGAGAAATTGGAGGACGAGGACGAGCAAGGCTGGTGTAAAGGAAGAAAAGACGGAAGAGTAGGTCTCTATCCGGCGAACTATGTGGACCTGGTGTCGCAGTAAACATTAACGCGTTGTCGTGCGTTTCACTTAAAAAAATTTGAAGAAAAAAAAAGCCAAATTTATTATCAACTCTTCGGGAAGAAAATGAGCCTCGCCCGCCTCTTGTTCAGCAGATTCACAAAGACATCCGTCGTGACAGCCACCTTATGAAACTTCGTGCCGACTGTGAACTAGACAGGGCGAATCCTTGTAATAAGCTGGAGAACTTTTTCCGATAAGGTTATCTTTCTCTTTCATTCGAAAGTGTCAAAGGAAACCCTTTTTCAGTATGATGCATGAATGATGATGAGAGGATGCTAGTGTTTCCGGTTCTTGTTACCCGGTGGCAAAAAGTCGATGAAAGTGCGCGTTGTAAATTGTACGACCGAGTGAAAGATACAAAGAATAATATTTTCCCTTCCTTTCCTCTTTCTCAGTTTTTTCCTTTTTTTTTTGTTTCTTTTTGTATTTTTACTTTCCCCGACTGACGACGAGTCAACGAAATTCCAAAATATTTTCACAATTCGCGCTCCTACCTTGTTTCTGCGTCTTCTGATACTTTATATCGTATAATGTATCCATAGGGCGGCTTAAAATAAATTCTTGTATGCTTTACGCATACCTTTCTCTTTACGCTTAGGACGCACTTACGAATCGATGAGTATTTTAGGACAGCTAGGTTAGCGGTTAAATTCATCGATTGAATGTAGAAAACTCCGGGAGAAGAGAAGTACGCGAAGAGAGTAAAAGAATGGAGGAACGCTGTTAAGGCCGATTTTAGATTTTCAATAAGGGGCCTGTACAGTCCTTGCATTACTGTAACCCGTCATTGTTATTGTTAAGAATTTCCACCACCCACTCCCTCTCTGCACACGTCCATGTTTCTTTTTTGATTTTTTCCTTTCGGCCGATACGACACGGGTTATATTTAATTTATTTGTTATTAAAGAGAAGTACTATTGCAATCTAACGTCTATCTAAGTGGTGTCATTGTACATAATGTTACTGTCGAACGGTGTAGCAATTATACAGCGAGTTAATTACTGTCGTTTAAACGAAAAGCGTAGAATTCTGATTAAACGAAGTATATTACATTCATAAGAAAAAAAAAGAAAAAAAACCAAGATCGATCGGAATGCCAATCCGTATATGGAGAAATGAATGTTTCGAGTGCAAACGAATCGAAAGAAAAAAATTGGGACCCAAACGAAGAAAAGAATGGAAAAAATATAGCGAAACGCCAAATCTCCAATTCTCTAAACGCATTTCTAATGGCCAGATGATTTTTTGTCATTCTTGGCCTTAAAAACATATATATATACATACATAAATATATAAGAGCGTTACGGAATTCTTTCATTGTTCCACCAGTGTATATAGTTTTGTTTTTCACGCGAGGGCGTTATGATTTTGCTCAGCGAGATAGAAAGGGAGGAAAGATCAAGTTTATAAGAGCGTCGCGACGCGATCCCATGCTCATATGAATGCGAAACGTCTAATAAACATTAATCCCAGTAGCGTCGTGATCCTCAGCTGTATCCTTTAGAAGACTATTATATTATTTCAGTCTTAAATTAACGTCGCTCATTAAATTCCGTCGAGACACTCGCGTGAATTGTATAGTTTATCCGAAAGAATTTTCTTACTGCTAACGGTATACTCGAAGAAAAAGATGATTCACTGTATTAAAAAAAGAAAGAATTGTTACAACTTTTCGCGAGTACGCGAGTTCGGAATATGTTGCGCTGGAATTTTCATCGTAGCCAAGAAAATTGTTCATTGGCTATACAAATTTTTGTAAAAATCGCAAAATATAAAACAAGCTTTTCCTTCCGGGTACGTTGACCGAATTATCCGGGCTCTTACTTTTTTTCTTTTAATCCTCCGTTGAATTTATCAACGGACTAATCATCATTTGCCACGTTTAATCGAGGACCAAAATATAACCTATAGTACATCTGGAAAATATGTATGAATTTTTTTTTTTTTTTAATATCTGGCTTTCTGACGATTGCATTATTAATTTAATAAAATTACACGCAGAACCCCTCTGCTCCGTTCAGTTAATAACTGAAGCACCAAAGCGCCGTAGGTTTTCAGTAATTGCGAAAAAAAAATATTAAAAAGAAATTAAACTAGCAGTTGAGCACAGGAGCCAAATATTAGTGATACAAGAGGTGCGATTATGCGAGAGCTAATGAAGAAAGATAATGGGAAATAAGAAGAGAAAAGAGAGAGAAGATGGAAGTATATCATGCAAATGCATTGGGCATCGCTGTTCACAATATTTATGTACATAAAAAAAAAGTGAAGAAAGAAGAAGTAGCTAACGATAGAAATTTCGAAACAAATCTACGAGTGATTTCTCCTTTCATTTTGTTTATTTTTTAAAAATCACTCTATTGTATCTCCCATCACTTATTGAAGAGAGAAAATGAGCGAGGACAGCAGAAAAATTAATATCCGCGAACGAAAAAAAAAAAAAACAGATGAAAATGTACACGAATTCCATAAAGTTGTTATGTAGACTATAGTTTGTGTAAAAAAATTTATTATTATGTATATCTAATAAATGACCTACGTAAAATATATTTTTGAAAACAGCTTCTGTCTGGGTGAGAATCATTGTGGCCAGCGACACAGGTGAGTTCGATTGCACGCTTGTCATCCAAAATTGGGTATGAAACGATAGAACACAATGTTTTTGATCTAATAATTTTTTGTAATAGTAGTAACGCAATAATGAGATTTCAGTCCTAAGGTTTTTTTTTTATTCATACCTTTATAATATAACATGACCCAGTCACTTTACACATGTGTAATGTATGACTAATTGAACAAACAATTATGGTGGTCAATATTAGCCCTATTTAGCTAATTATCTATCTATGCGTATATATACAAGACACTGGATGACGCTTAAACATTAGTGTATTTTATATACGTTAATATAAGTAAATACAAGGACAGCACTTTTGGTTTTACTGCTGATAATAACCAGATGTTTTGAAATGAAACTTTTGACTTATTTATAGACTTCTTACATAAAACGTTAGTGATTATAATATATATATTTACAGTTTACATTAACCGTAGTATAAACATATGATGCTTCTACGTATTTAATGATTGAGACAATTTTTCTTAAAGTAATTGATTCTCGTGAATCATGCACATTCAATGTCCCAATTCGTACTTGTATATATATAAAAGTCTTTTCTTCCACCTACTTGAATTAAAAATTCCAATAACAATAACAAAATCGCATTGACATTTTACAATTGTGGTATATAAGAAATCGCTGGAAATGATGAAAACTCGTAATTTTCAAAAGAAAAGAAAAAGAACTGTCGAAAGGTAATTTATGCAGGTATAAATTGTAGATTGATGGAGTAAGAGTCACAATTAGTTGTTTGATGAAAACGAAATAACTTAATGGGATTCTACATGTTTTTGCAGATCCTCCAAGGTTGAGAATGGCTTTTCGCAGAGGAAGCAGACCTGAGCATTTCCATTATGAACGTCGAGATGCTCTGAGAGTTCGTCCTGCCTGCTAAAAACCTGATCGCAGATGACGCAGATATAATCTTGTTGAACATTTAATCCTCGTTTCTCCCACTCAGCTATAGCAGCCTCTTCCTCGTGCGCCTGCATGTGCATCACGAGTAACATCTCCGAGTCGAATTGTTCGGAGCACTGGGCGCATTTGTGGAAATTTTTACCCTCCTGCTTTTCCGGTTCGTTAGTTATGCTTATCAGGTTAGGATTATCATCCTCGTCGTCGAAGAGATGCTTTTCCACGTGACTCTCCAGGACTTCCTCAGACTCTAGAGTCTCGCCACAGATGGCGCACTGATATTGCTCCTTCCCAGTGCTTTGCTCGTCCTCACTAATGTCGTCACAGTGTTTTTGCAGATGATCTTTGAGGACCTCCTCATCGGTGAATATCTTGTCACAGACGAAACACGTGTACGTCTGCTTCGGCACCTTTACAACCGGTGCACTTTCTACAGTTTTTGTCTCCTGGGTTACGTGCACGTTATTCTGCTGCGTGCTGGCGACTTCAGGAGCTTTTTTCGTGGCAGAGCTGCGTTTAACATTCTCTAGTCGGAACTCTGACTCTTCGTGAGTCTCTAAGTGACGTACTAGTAATTTTTCGGTGCGAAAAGTCGAGTTGCAGACATAACACTTATGGGTGGCTGCTTTGTTGGACCGGCACACGTGCACCCTTACGTATCGCGCTTCAACAATCTCGTGACACCTTTTGCAACGCATCATTCTGTGCTTGTTCTGCTTCGCCGGACTTGCCTCTACCTTGTGGGTCAGGACGTGAGCCTCTATTTCCTTCCAGGTACCGAAGGAATCACTGCATACACCACATACGTGTCTATCGCTACCAGTCTCCATGCTCTTGTCTTTGTCTAAACTTTTCTCAATTGTGGTTACAGGTTTCTTAGTCGTCGACAACGTTTTAGATGTCAAATCACCCTGATGTTTCTCACTTAGTGATTTGTCAATGCGAGTCGCTGTGACCTCTTCTTTCATACGTTTCGTCGTGGCACCCTGCCTTGCCAATGCTGGACCATAAGTCTTTCTGTTCTGTACTTTTATTCCAGATACCTTTAATGTTGACGGCAACACTTTATCTTCTGGGAGATACTCTTCCTCTGAATCCAGGAGTGTAGTATTAAAGTCGCAGTATTTAGCCGGTAGAACGCGTTGTCTTTTACCTAGTGGAACGCTCGGTGGAGTCACTTTTCTACTTTTTGGTTTAGGTTTTTCCAATGCTTGGATATTATTAATTTGGTAATGTTTACTGGCTTTGGATACATCAAGGCGCACCAGGAGCACCTTTGGTTGGAACATATCCGAACGTAGAGCAGCTTTCATAAGAGCTGACGAGTATTCCTTGTTCTGTTGACTGCGTGCTTTTATGGTGGTTTTAACAGGAGACATAGTTCGTAATTTCGATGATTCAACATTTTTCTTTATAGCCTTCTCGACTATGGTCTTCAGTTGCTGATCCAAAGTCTGAAAGGAATCTTTAGGTTTACTGTCTACCTTCTCGTTATGGGGTGAAGTTTTATGTGTACCCAGCAATTTGTGCCTCATGTCATTTTCCACAAAGGTTGCAAGCTCTGCCTGAACCCGCTGCAAAGCTTCAACTTCAGTACCTTCCACTTCAATGTTCAAACATCTCTCTATAAATTTCTTTTCATCCTGTACAGGTGACTTAGGATTGACTCTGCGCAATTGCACAGCATCAATGATGTCTGTGTTACGTTCTTGACTGTTCTCATCTACGCTTAACCCGATTATATCTTGTGAAGAATTGTTCAGGTGAGTCTTGTTCAGATAATGCGGTTCAGAGAGAACCAGCGTAGACGTAACTATATACGTTGCATCTCCAATCTTTAATTCGGAACGAACAGAATGAGGATTAAATGCACTGTCAGAATGTAACTCCGTATCAGGTTGTTCAGATTCAGTCGGTGCTGCTTCTGTGTGCGCATTCGGTAAAGAATTTTTATTCTGAGCAACGTCTCCTTCAGGGTTTGAGCCCTTGCTGTTCTTTACCATTTCATTATTTTTTTGTGTCTCTTTTAGTTTCTTGTTAATACCTTCAACTTCCAAATTTTCCTCATTTCGTGAATTCTCACCATTTCCAGACTTTTGAGAAAGTGTCTTCCTAGATTCTGACTCAGCACCAGTGAATTCAACGTCATTTTCATCTTGCTTCATATCGCTAATACTTGACATGTTTGATTCAAAGTTCTTGTGTGCCTTAGATAACCTCTTCTGTCGCTCGACCTCCTTTTCCGCGTTAGTCTTCGCTCTGGCTTTTTGTACCGGGGATAGTTGCGTGTCATCCGATGCGATGGAATCTGTATCAGAAGCATTTTCACCTGTTGCTGCTAAAAGAGCTTTTTTTCGTGCGACCCAACGTTTTGTAGACGCTTTACGTCTGTCAGTTGTCCTACCTCGCTTTCCGGTAATACATTTCACCTTCATTCCAACTGCGGTATGTTTTACTCGTGTCTGTCCTTCGTCTTGTACTTCTTCCTCTTTAACATCCTGCGGCTGACCTAAAGCATCATCGATCTGTTTAGAAGCATCCTTGGAAGCCAATACTGATTCATCCTCAGGAATGTACAATTCGTTCAATACAGTCTGATCTGTTACGCAGTCAACACTAGCAAACTCCAATGGTATTAAGGGAGGTATGTCAGACTTTGATTTCTTCTGAAAAAAATGATCAGTGGTGTACAGGTTGTTTAAAAAAAAAGAATAACTAAACATTAAAAAATTCTTTATACCTTTTCAGGAAGTTCAGACAAACTATCCTTACTACTTTGCTCCTCCTCATTATGTTTTCTCTTGCACATCTGCAAGTTAATAGAAATGAGTACCTAATTACTCCAATATATTCTACAAAATAAAGTACTAACTGTAATGTCTGCAGTCTCTGGCAATACCAAAAGTTCAAGAAGCATCTCGTTGCTTCGAATGAACTGCTCCTTGAATTCACTCCACATTTCTAATTTGTAAAGACACACGTGGCAAATCTTTTTTGGTAAGTCTTCGTCATCCTCGATCTAGAATAAATAACGAAGTATAAAAATTATTTAAGTCCAAAAAAGTCATGAGTTAATCAAATAATATAAACATACATCTACAGAAGTACACTTTGTCAGATCCTCTAACTGAGGTTGTATAGACTCTGCGAAAATATCGCTCATGCATCCTTGTTCAGATAGACATATCCGACACTTATCGTCCACGTTAAGTATTTTACGTTTCTTAGGCATATTTGCACTCATTTTCTAAAAAAAACGATCACAACTTTACGCGTAACTAGATGAAAATTAGCCAGGCAACTGAAGTAGATCATGAATGGAGTAGTGGCGGGTCCGAACATAATGGCTTGGGTACCTATAACTTCGATATAAATCTGATTTCTTCTTGGTCGATACTCAGGCAACTTCATACAATCTTAAAAAGCGTCTTTTTCGTAAAAATCGCTTTCGATGAAGGAAGTATGACAAAGGAATATTACATTCCACCATTTACATTTCATATTTGCAAAAAATATTTTCCCCCGTACTCTTAGAAAATTATACAGAACTATTGAGAGACTTTTGGAAATGTCTGGAAATCCTCGTTCATGTTCATGCATTGTATAGATGGAGCGCAGTCTTGTAAAACGTGCATGCAACTCCTCCGTAATCCGTATAAATTTTGTAGCGCTATCATTCCTGACTTGTATACTAGCTTTATTTTATGTAATTCACATAAAAATTACCGTGGTGAAGTCGGAGATGAAAGAAATTGCTGTTTAATATATCGTAACTTCGGCCCTGATAGCTTCTGAATACTGTGATTTTAGCGTGCGAATTTGTAACAGTATAATTCTAGCAATCTCAGCAGCGCCTCATAAGATAGGTAACTGGAATACGAAGTATTGCATGCACATTTTACGGGGCTGCGCACCACCAATATAATACATGAATGTGGTCGAAAACGATCAGGCGGTCATCGTAATTGTAGTCCTACTGTTCTCATTTATCGACTATCAAGCGGCGCGGTGTGTAACGTTTGAGCGGCTTTTCTAGAAAATTCTGTTGAATTCATTCTGTCAACTAATCTCAGTTGAAACAGTATTTCACAAAGTTTCTAAGTTAAAACACCTTAAATTATCTTTGAGGAAAGTTACAGATAATTTTTGTAGAATAACTGACGCTTTTTCTTCTATAAAAGTGTAAGTAATTTTGCTAGCTTCTTTATTAAATGCTTTGCGTTTGTATTAAAATTTTCGCGTGGTCATTTCCTTGATCTAAAGTGGGCTGGACAAGGCATTTCTAGAAGAGTCTCTGCAAATGTTTTCTTTCATTTTTTTGGAATATTCATAAAATTTGTAGTTTTCTTAATCAAGGGCAGAATTCTTAATTGATGTTGAACTGCAGACTGTGTATCATATGACTTTTTTTTATAAAAATATTTATGATTTAATTAAATTCTTGGTGTATCTTTCAGAATGGCTGCTATTGATATCTCTCCTTCTAAGGATAATGGAGTTCTTAAAGAAATCATTAAGGGGGGTACAGGAGATGAAACACCAGCAGCAGGAAGTAAAGTCACTGTGCATTATACTGGAACATTATTGGATGGAACAAAGTTTGACTCCAGCAAAGACAGACACGAGCCTTTTCAATTTGACTTGGGAAAAGGTAGTGTTATTAAAGCATGGGATATTGGAATTGCCACTATGAAAAAAGGAGAAGTTGCTGTGCTGACTTGTGCTCCTGAATATGCTTATGGTCAAAGTGGCAGTCCACCAACTATTCCCCCAAATGCTACTCTTAAATTTGAGGTATATAATTTTAAATTTGTATGTTTTGGAGTAAAATACATTGCTAATGATTATCAACTCATGATTTACCTAGGTTGAAATGATCGATTGGAAAGGAGAGGATCTGAGCCCTAATAAAGATGGAAGCATTGAGAGATTTCAAATTATTCCTGGAAAAGGATATGCAACACCTAAAGATAGTGCATTGGTAAACAGTAAGTAGTAACTTCTTAAGCAAAATAGAGTATAGAATTGCAAATCATTTATTATTGACTAATAATAATTATTCTTTACAGTTCATTTGGTGGGGAAATACAATGATCAGGTCTTTGAGGAGAGAGAAGTTCAATTTCCTCTTGGAGAAGGTGAAGATGCAGGAATTATCGAAGGTGTGGAGAAGGCTTTGGAAAGCTTCAAAAGTGGCGAAAAATCGAGACTGAAAATAAAAAGCAAATATGCATTTAAAAAGACTGGAAAACCTGAATTTAACATTCCACCTGATGCAGATGTGGAGTACATTGTCGAATTGAAGAGCTTTGAAAAGGTAATGTATCTTTTACATCTAAAAAGAAATTATTTCACATTTTCGTAACATTTTCATTGTAAATGTCATTTTTTTTTATTTCTATAATTCAGGGTGTGGAATGCTGGTCCCTGGAAGCACCACAGAAAATTGAACAAGCAAAACTCTTCAAAGAAAAAGGAACAACATACTTCAAAGCCAACAAATACAACTTAGCTATTAAGATGTACAAGAAAGTCATCGAATTTCTGGATTACGATAGTAACTACGATGGCGATCTTAAAACGGAAAGAAACAATCTGCTCGTATCAGCGCATCTGAATCTCGCCCTATGTTACCTGAAAACAGATCAGAACGTGGAGGCAAAGGATTCTTGTAACAAAGTATTAGAACTAAGTCCGAAAAATGAAAAGGCTCTCTTCAGACGTGGTCAAGCCTACCTGGCACTAGCATCACCAGATATTGCCGTTAAGGACTTCCAGGAAGTCCTAAAACTGGAATTGAAGAACGCAGCGGCTGCCAAGCAAATAGCAGTTTGCAATAATCTCATTAAAAAGCAACTGGCTAAAGAGAAGAAGCTGTACGCCAATATGTTCGATAAATTCGCACAAGAGGATAAACAGGTTTGTGAAAAGAATGAGGAACGAATTTAAATTGTACCCAGAAGTTACTCGTGGTTCTGCACTTACGACAAAAGTGTCTTTGTAAATTTAAATAAATTATAATATTCATTCGTCAGTGAATCTCGAGTGATTTTATATAAGTCATTGAACAGAAAGTTTTCTCATGCGACGCTGTCTTACATATGACCGTAAACTGGTAGTAATGTCGCAGAAGGAGGAGGAGAAGCTGCGACAACAGCCGGACGTGATGCGTGGTGCTCTTGGAGAATGGGGCCAAGAGGAACGACCTGGAGGTAGAGATGCCACGGCCTTCGAGAAGGAAAATCCCAACATTCTTATGCTGAATGCGAACGGTACTGGTGAATTCAAGAATATGTGAACGAGTCTCACTTTACATTGTTGTTACTGTGCTATTGGAAACAGCATTGAACAATCAACATTGAACAATCAACATTTTCTTCAATGTTTCAATCTGGATTTTCTCAATTTTTAATTTCTTGTTCATCCAGCATTATCTAATCATAGCAATTGTAATTGTAACCACATTTACGTCACCGGTATCAATGTGAATTCTTGGTGGGAAAATATTTTTGCCACATATACTAATACACTAGTCAATTAAATAATTTGAATCCCGTCCGCCCAGTGTATGTTCTCTGTGTATTCCAATACATTTCAAACAGTACAAATATTCTTGTCCATGATTTTTCATGACCTTTCCGCCACGGAGGATAGACTTTTCACACAATAATCGTGTCAGAATCGCTTCCTCGTTCCATTACCGGCAAAATAACGAAGGATCAGTTGGTTTTAATTGACCAGGAAGTTTCCAAAGAATAGGTAAGCGAGGACTGGCAGGTGGGGCATATAAGGAGCAGCATACGAGCGGAGATATTTATACAATGATTAAAAAAAATTCATTAAAACAGAAAAATATCTGTTTTACTGCTATTCCAAATAACCAAGTAGATTCTCATATGATTTTCTTAATGAATTAATTGCTCTCAACTTGCTCCTATTTGCTCCTCAATTTGTTTTTAATTTCATTAAAACATCTTTAAATCAGTAGTAAAATTTGATTTTCTCTTGGCTATTAACAGTTGGAAATCAGAAAACCTGGCCAAGAATACTTAGAAGTACTGAAAATTGCCCAAAATTGTGTACGCGCAACTTCGTCGCGCAGGACTCGGCGAGTGGGGGGGAGTGGGGGAAGCGACGAAGACAGCGCCCGGACTCCGAGCGCTCATTCTTCCTCGAGCCGGTCTCATATACTGGTCTCTTGGAAATACCCCTCTTTTCTATTTCCAACCTTCTTCTTTTTCTATATTTATTTCTTTATCCTTCATTCTTTACTTTCTCACTTATCTCTTCCCTCGTTTCTTCACTACATTTATAACTCATTCCTTACTTTTCTACTTTTTGACTTCTTTATTTCTATCTTCATTTCTGATTTCTCGTTTGACTCTGTTCCCTCTCAGTTTCCATAGTGCTTGTATTACTTTTCCTATATTTATTTCTTGTTTATTTCCTTATTTCTTTATATATAATTCTTTGCTTTCTTATTTATCACTTTGCTCATTTCTTCTCTACTTTTCAACTCTATTCCTTACTTTTCTACTTTTTGACTTCTTTATTTCTATCTTCATTTCTGATTTCTCGTTGACTCTGTTCCCTCTCAGTTTCCATAGTGCTTGTATTACTTTTCCTATATTTATTTCTTGTTTATTTCCTTATTTCTTTATATATAATTCTTTGCTTTCTTATTTATCACTTTGCTCATTTCTTCTCTACTTTTCAACTCTATTCCTTACTTTTCTACTTTTTGACTTCTTTATTTCTATCTTCATTTCTGATTTCTCGTTGACTCTGTTCCCTCTCAGTTTCCATAGTGCTTGTATTACTTTTCCTATATTTATTTCTTGTTTATTTCCTTATTTCTTTATATATAATTCTTTGCTTTCTTATTTATCACTTTGCTCATTTCTTCTCTACTTTTCAACTCTATTCCTTACTTTTCTACTTTTTGACTTCTTTATTTCTATCTTCATTTCTGATTTCTCGTTGACTCTGTTCCCTCTCAGTTTCCATAGTGCTTGTATTACTTTTCCTATATTTATTTCTTGTTTATTTCCTTATTTCTTTATATATAATTCTTTGCTTTCTTATTTATCACTTTGCTCATTTCTTCTCTACTTTTCAACTCTATTCCTTACTTTTCTACTTTTTGACTTCTTTATTTCTATCTTCATTTCTGATTTCTCGTTGACTCTGTTCCCTCTCAGTTTCCATAGTGCTTGTATTACTTTTCCTATATTTATTTCTTGTTTATTTCCTTATTTCTTTATATTTAATTCTTTGCTTTCTTATTTATCTCTTTCCTCATTTCCTCTCTACTTTTCAACTCTATTCCTCACTTTTCTACTTTTTGACTTCTTTATTTCTATCTTCATTTCTGATTTCTCGTTGACTCTGTTCCCTCTCAGTTTCCATAGTGCTTGTATTACTTTTCCTATATTTATTTCTTGTTTATTTCCTTATTTCTTTATATATAATTCTTTGCTTTCTTATTTATCACTTTGCTCATTTCTTCTCTACTTTTCAACTCTATTCCTTACTTTTCTACTTTTTGACTTCTTTATTTCTATCTTCATTTCTGATTTCTCGTTGACTCTGTTCCCTCTCAGTTTCCATAGTGCTTGTATTACTTTTCCTATATTTATTTCTTGTTTATTTCCTTATTTCTTTATATATAATTCTTTGCTTTCTTATTTATCACTTTGCTCATTTCTTCTCTACTTTTCAACTCTATTCCTTACTTTTCTACTTTTTGACTTCTTTATTTCTATCTTCATTTCTGATTTCTCGTTGACTCTGTTCCCTCTCAGTTTCCATAGTGCTTGTATTACTTTTCCTATATTTATTTCTTGTTTATTTCCTTATTTCTTTATATATAATTCTTTGCTTTCTTATTTATCACTTTGCTCATTTCTTCTCTACTTTTCAACTCTATTCCTTACTTTTCTACTTTTTGACTTCTTTATTTCTATCTTCATTTCTGATTTCTCGTTGACTCTGTTCCCTCTCAGTTTCCATAGTGCTTGTATTACTTTTCCTATATTTATTTCTTGTTTATTTCCTTATTTCTTTATATATAATTCTTTGCTTTCTTATTTATCACTTTGCTCATTTCTTCTCTACTTTTCAACTCTATTCCTTACTTTTCTACTTTTTGACTTCTTTATTTCTATCTTCATTTCTGATTTCTCGTTGACTCTGTTCCCTCTCAGTTTCCATAGTGCTTGTATTACTTTTCCTATATTTATTTCTTGTTTATTTCCTTATTTCTTTATATTTATCTCTTTCCTTACTTCTTCTCTACTTTTATACCCCCCATTCGTTACTTTTCTATTTTTTAACTTCTTAAATTTTATCTTCCTTTATAACTTCTCGTTTCACTTTGTTCTCTCCCTCTTTACATTGTGCTTGTCTTACTTTTCCTATTTCCTTGGTCGGGTCGAGCATATTAATTCAAGTAGTGATATAAGAGTAGTCATCCGGTTAGTGCAGCTAGACTTAAGACCATGGTGTCGGGGGTTGCCCTTCCGCCTCTTCCGCTGAGCTTGCTCAGTGGTTGGTGGCCCAAGTTGTGGCCGCAACAGGACCTTATGGGTCTCCCGACGGGGGCCTTGAGCCCCCTTAGGGTATCTACGGCCATGGTCTTTCGTATAGTGAATCTAGCCAGGTGTCTAGCTCTCGCGTATTTAGTATAACTTGTTCGCTTTGCTAAAAACGCCCCAATATGTCTTGACCCTTGGGCACTTGTGTGGGTAGAGACGATCCTATTTGTCCGTGGGGAGGTCGGAGGGGTAGTCCGTTGACTTTGGGTAAAGTCCTACTTGTGCTTGTGCTTGGGGGTCACTTCACTTGGGATAGGTGCGGGTGCTATTGAGCACCCGCTAGTATAAAGTCACCCCCTGTCGGAGACATTTTGCGCGT